CTAGTCTCGAACTCACAGAGATCCTCCTGCCTCTGCCTCCCCAGCAAAATTTTTCCATCTTTGCCTTGTTTGCTGGTCTGTTTCCTAACGCTAGCTAGTTTGCTTCATTGTATTCTCCCTCCATGGGCTTGTTCCACCTGCAGGCCAAGCACACACAGGAGAATTGTGAGACGTGGGGTGTGAATGGTGAGACTGGTACCTTGGTGGACATGAAAGAGCTGGGTATATGGGAACCGTTGGCTGTGAAGCTGCAAACATACAAAACAGCAGTGGAGGTAAGACACCCTAAAGTATACATACGCTGTTTCTGTCCTGACAACCAACTGCTGTGCTTTGGAAGGAAGGGGCCACAAAAGGCGGAATATTCCCTAAAGATCTCCCAAGGAATTCCATTTCCCTACTTACCTTTGGCTTATAAGAAAACATTGTGTATCAGGGCACAAGCTACATCTCTTGCTTAGGGAGGACTGCATTGTTTATTCAAGACTCTGAAAAGGGGAGATTGCAGATAAAATGGTAATTCGGTGGGAGGAGATACATTTAAAAGAAAACTGTGTCTTTTCCTTCTCAGCTGACCTCTTTGGACTGTTTTACTCTTAGACTGCAGTTCTGCTTCTGCGGATTGATGACATTGTCTCTGGGCACAAAAAGAAGGGTGATGACCAGACCCGGCAAAGCAGTGCTCCAGATGGTGGCCAGGAGTGAGTGGTGAGCAAGGTGACTTCAACGCACAGAACCAGCAGTCTCCTGTTTCCTGAGCCAGAGTTCCAGGAACACTGTGGACACCTTTGTTTGCAAAGGATCAAGTTGAGGGGCAGCCCCCAGTCTGTCCCATCTCGGTTTGCAAAAAGCACTGACATGTATCTTCTCTATTGTAAGCTTTCCATTTAGTTTGCTTCCAGTGATTAAATCTAAGTCATTTGAGACAGTTGTCATGTGGTCTCTTCAATCTCCGGGCTCATCTCTACATCCTAGCAATACAAGAGGAGGCTGGAAACCTTAGGGGCAAAGGAGACGAATTGAGATCACTAACTTTTTTGGTGGGGGGATGCTGGTTTTTTTTTTTTTTTTTTTGAAACTGGTTCTCTATAACAGCTCTAGACCTGGCTGGCCTCGAACTCACAAATCTGGCTGGTTGGGTTTCCTTCAGCATGTGTGCCTTGAGGCTTACTAGCCTCATTCCAAATGCTGTAAAATTGGCTCACACGAAGTCACAGCTATATAGCAAGTAGGAGACCATTCTGTGCTGCTCTTGTCTCTGAAAGAAAAGAAAATCTACTGAGACAGTAATATTGTTCAGTAGGCAAAAATGCTTGCCACTAAAGCCAATGACATTTGTTCAGTCCCCAAATACCATAGTGGGTAGAAGGAGAGAGGTGGCTGTCTGACCTCCATGTGCACCTGCATTCACAGGCATTACACTCAAAGGCCAGGGGTGGTGACCTGGCATTCAGGAAGCTGAGACAGAATGTTGTGTAATACTATACTGTGTGAAGATGTGTCACTGTGATTGGCTTAATAAAGAGCTGAATGACCAATAGCTAGGCAGGAAGAATGTAGGAGGTACTTCTGGGCACAGGTGTCCAGCCAGATGCAGAGAAAGCAGCACGGGAAGATGAGGTAACAAGCCGTGCCACAGTGGGGACTAAAGGGGTTGATTTAAGTTATACAAGCTAGTGGAACAAGCTTAAACTAAGGCTAAGCTTTCCTAATTCTCTTAGTCTTTGTTTGGGAGCTTGTGTTATGGAGAAGGACTTGCTATTTGCTATACAGGATTCTTCTGGGTCTAAGGCCAGTCTAGCTAGACTGCAAAGTAAATGCCCTGTCTCTGGGTAAGAGCTTACTGCTCTCTAAGAGGAAGCAAGTTCAATTCCTAGCATCTACACTGGGTGACTCATAGCTAACTCAGCTCCAGGGGATTCCAAGTCTCTCTCTTAACCTCCTCAGAGGTGGCATGCACACAAAAATAAAAATAAAATAGTCTTGGGGGTTGGAGAGATGGCTCAGTGGTTAAAAGCAGTGACAGCTCTTCCAGAGGACCCAGGTTTAATTCCCATCACCCACATGACAGCTCACAACTGTAACTCAAGTTTAAGTTACACCTTCATAGCAATGCACATAAAGTTAAACAGATTGTTTTAAAAAATAAATAAGTAAAATAGTCTTTAAAGCAGGAGCTCTACTGGGCGGTGATGGCACGTGTTAATCCCAGGACTCAGCAGGCGGAGGCAGGTGGATCTCTGAGTTCAAGGCCAGCTTGGTCTGCTTAGTGACTTCCAGGACAGCCAGGGCTATACAGAATAACCCAAAAATAAAAACCTTGCTGCTTGGTTGGGGCTATAGTTAGCATTCTCAAGTAGTTTTTTTTTTTTTTTTTTTTTTTTTTTTGTTTAGATTC